ATAGGGTCTTTGACCATTCTGCCTTTCAAGTCGTCATGCCTGTGTTTCTGAATAGCAGCAAAGATCTAATTAAATAAAGAAGACATGCACACGATTCCCTTTGCTAGCTAGCAAATATTCTGTTTCTTTCTCTAATGGTTTTGTTCATCGAGACTGTGTTTATTGGGTGTAAAAAGAAAATCATCATATCAGAAACAGAATATATAATAAGTTACACAAAAGTTACACAAAAACATAATTCTCTGATGTATTTATACAGTGGTGGCTAAAGAATAAGGTAACTTAAAGGTGTGTGCTTATTACTATCAGTATATTAGCAAACAGTCTGACTGAAAGAAGTCTCAACATGTAGACATAACGTAGATCAAAAGTACCTATATCCAGACTCTGCACAAACTTACAATTCAGCCTGAAAAAAACTACTGAAATTTCATATATAAGAAATACTAAATAAATAGTAAAATACTGTAGAATACACATGTACCAAACAACTTGTTTTAAATTGATTTGATGTATTCAAGATACAAAACTAAACAAGCAAACAGAACTAATTCTTGAATGTATTAAGCAAGGTAGCATTTAAACACTTAGACCTGAGGTAGGCAGTGTTTTTTGGTCGGAGTGCTGAAAACCCCCACAATGCCTACCTTGGACAGTGCCGGAGTGCCGGCATGACAGAAAAACAAAATGAGGGCATGGGGTACAGGGCAGGATGCCCTGCTTATGCCCCTTGGTGCCTACCCAAAGCCCCTGCCCCCCCAGGCCCGCTGGCCCGCAGCCTGCTACCCTGTGGCTGGCAGGAGCTACCCAGAGCCAGGGCCAGCTGCAACCCAAACAGCTGTGCCGGGATCCGGAGCCAGGGCATCAGCTCCAGCATCCGCTCTGGCCACAGCTCCATGCTGGCAGCAACTGTACGGGCACCTGGGGGCAGACAGCAGGGTAGCGCAGCCTGCCCCGAGGTGCCTATGCAGTCACCACCAGCATGGAGCTGATGCCAGAGCTGGGCCGCCCAGCACAGCTGCTTGTAGCCTGCCTGCTGCAGCTGCCCAGAGCCCAGGCTGGCTACAAACAGCTGCACCAGGCTCCAGACCCAGTCACCAGCTCTGTGCGGGAGTGGGGAAGAGACCGGGGTTGTGCCACCTCATGCCCCTCCCCCACCACTTGCTCTGATGCACAGGTACACATGCCAGTACAGAGCTGATGCTGGGGCTCCGGAGCCTGGCGCAGCTGTTTGCTGCCAGCCACAGAGCCCGGGCTGCTCCCAGCAGGCAGCTGGGATGCTGCAAGCCCTGCTAGGGGCAGCCCCGGAGCCCGCAGCTACCAGAGCCATGGCTGGCCATGGTGTGCTGAGCAAAATGGCCTCACATGCTATGCTCAGCATGCGTGCCGGGGGTTGCCAACCCCTGACTTAGAGGTTGAATAGGTTTCATTTCATACTCATACCCGACAGCTTGGAGAGCAGAATCCAGCCAATAAGTCTGTGGCAGGCAAAGGGCATGGGGTGGGAGGGAAGCAGATCAAGGTCCCCATGGTAAGGGAGGGAGTGGGGCAGGGGTAGGCATTGTCCAGTCAGGCTGGTAAATGTGACCCTGCCAGGAGCAGAAGACCCATGGACAGCTCCTCCAGGAGCACTGGGTATGGGTGGCCAGCTCCCAACCACCACATGCATCACTGGGGGAAGGCATGGGGGGCACATGCCATCCTGGATTTGTGCATAAGGGAAGGGTGGGTGGCCCACTGTGGGCTTGGGGCCAAGGGCTGTGCCAGCCTCTTCCCAGCAGAGGGACAGGGCCAGGGCTGTGCTCAGCATGGGCAGGGAGGGGCAGTGCACGCACTGGGAAGGGTAGCTGTAGCAAGTTTTGGGGTGGCTATAGCCCACCCCATAGCCACCACTTCCAGTGCCACCGCCACCTGCCCTGCCCCCACCCACTCACAGCACTGCCCCAGCCCAGCCTCCCTGCTGGGAAGAGACCAACATAACAGCCGGCCCTCGCCTCTACCACAAATCCGGGGGGCACGTGGGGGGGGGGAAGAGAATGACATATACCCCCCATGCCTCCTCCAGGGATGTATGCAGCAGCAAGGAGTGTCCCCCCGTCCCCACCCTCCTGCACGAGCCACCTGCGGCTCCACCCCACTCCTGGCAGGGTTGCATTTACGGCCCTAACTGGGAAGCACCTGCCAGATCCACTCCCTCCCTCACTATGGGGGCCTTGATCAGCATCCCCATGCCCCTTCTCCCCCCACCATGGCTTAATTAGTAAGCCATGCTAATTAAAAGTGCCCGCACATCATATATCAGCAGCTCAGTGAAGAAAGCCCGAAACTCAGGACATATGGCTGCAGTGCTCATTTGATGCACCTCTTAGCCAAAGACTTCAGTGCTCCAGAAATAAAAAGCCAATGTTGCTGAAATTGCAAAATGCTTCTATTAACAACTACTTTTTCAGCAGCTGCTCTGAAGAAAGTTTGGTTCCTCCCCTAACTCTCCCACAAGATATGCGATGCAAGTCAGTAGTGGACTGTTTTGAGCAATATATTGAGAACTGGCCTAATCCGATTACAATTTGTGAACAAAAATCATGACAAAATAGATGGAACTGTCACAGCCAAAGTTCTCAACACTGGGCTAAAGAGAAATGTAGAATGTATGCTGACTATCCTGAAGCCTATTTCCATAGCCTTGAACTAAGTGCAGGGAAATGGCTGTTTTATTGCTGATGCTGTTGAAATTTGGAAGGAACTGAGTGAGAACTTGAAGAAAGAAATATACAATGACAGTTAAATTACAGGCATTAAAAAACCGAATGGATCAAGCACAGTCTCTAGCTCATTTTCTTGCCAATAATCTCAATACTTGGTACCAGGGTCAATCCTTAACTGCTGAAAAAGAGGAATTGGCTATGACATGGACATCCAGCAACCTTCCCTCCATAGTAAGAGGATGGCTAAGGGTGAACCAACCACTGAAGTATACTATAAAAACATACTAGTTTATTATAGTAAAGTATAATACATTTCAGAGCTAAGGGTGAACCATTGAAGAAATATATGTTTGCTGATGAGGTTTTAAAGAAAGTCACATCAGTGAACTGGTAGAAATCACTTAAGCACCTGAGTCCATCAGAGACTATTGAAGTGATAATCCAGCTTTTAAGAGTAGTAGCTTCTTCTGCAGGTATAGAAAGAATATTTTCTTCCTTTGGACTAATTCGTTCTAAATTGAGAAACTGCCTCAGAACTGAAAGCAGGAAAGGTTGTTTTTCCTCTCGAGTCTATGAATTAAAAAAAAAAAAAAAAGGAAGATGAAGACTGAGTTTACAGCATAACCCAGTATTTTAAGTTTCCCATGTTGACCTGGCTGAAACAACGTATTTAATCTTTGTTAAAAAACACATTTTACTTTTATAAATGAAATAGCTAAAAATTCAAAAATACACATGCTTGTTTTGTTAAAATAATTATACATGCTTGCTGTTGAAGAAAAATATCCAAAATACATAAAGCTTGTTGTTCTCCTAATATACTGTGGCAAAAATATCCCCCACATATCCATAATTAATCTAGTGAATTGGAGATAGCTCACCTCCCAATCACTTCACAAGTATCTGCTTCAATTAGCTTTGGTAAATAAAATAACTGAATTATGATTTTCTTTTCTGATATAGCTGCAAAATTAATCTAAAAAAATATAAAAATAAATCACTGCCTTAAAGTATAGTATGTGCCATCTAAAAATGATACCTACATCTACCTGAGTTGTGAATAATATGTACTAAAGTTATAAAACAAACAAACCAAGAACGTAGTTTTTGTAGAAGACAATGATTAAATCAAGGCTTCCTGACCAGCAATTTGAATCAGACCAAGCCTAGAACATCCTATGTTAATTGGTTAATCTGCATTCTCCCTCTTAGACATTCAATGCCGATGTTTATTTTCATTATTAAAAGTCTATTAAACTAAGACTTAGCACCTAGAAGAGATCACAAAGTTTGGAGAACCAGATTCAGCACAATAACCTTGATTCTATTTGAGTGTTTGATTTATCATCCAGGATGATATTCAAAAAGGTGGACATCAGGAATGAAAGAAGAAAAAAAAAGTTCCATGCCATGGCATAGATTGAATCTTTTCTTCTTCCAAGAAAACAAAAAACCCTATAAATCTTTATTTAGAATTCAAAACCAGAATTTAAAATAAAACCTAAAACATTTTAGCGATAAGACTATCCTCATAACACTTCTTAAATACATTAAAAGATAAGACACTGATAACTGCACTAACGGTGAACATAAACATACCTGAGAGATTATACTGCGCGAACTAAAGATGCCAGAGCTTTTAACAAGGGAGAAAATGCTTTAGTTTTATCTATAGCGAGGTGTTCTTAAGCATACCATTTGGTTCACTAGAAAGTTAGTGAAAAGCTAGCAACCAGAAAAGGCCCAGAATGCACCACTATGCTCTGCTGACATAGATGAGCTAGTTCAGGTGTAATAGACTGCAGTTGTTTAACTGTATGTTTACTTGTTACTAAAGAATAGCCAGAAACAGCTTTCTAGAGCTATTGCTTCCAATTCTATTACCTTTCCCCCGTGCGAGGGGGGGGTGGGGGGGTGTGGAAAAATCAGTATCCATGCATTAACAACACTTGTGGAGGCAGTGTTTTCTATTCCAAAGTAGAGATAACATCAGTACTATATCTTCTCACATATATCATGCACCTTCTCTACCCAAAAAACCAGCTGCTCGAAATTTCAATTCACATTATATTTGTGAAAAAAGTGGTCAGAACAGTTTCTGGCTTACTGAGTAGAAGTAAAGTCAGCATGCAGCTCACGAGTGGAACAATGAGCAGGCTGAGCTCCCTAGGTGCTGCTACTCGGTTGCTTTAAAAAGGTGAACATTATATACAAGAAAATATGGCAATTTAAAATATTAGCAAGATACAATTGTTTCTAGATAGAGACAGTAAAATAGTGTTAGATTCCTATTTGTATTCTATAATTGGAATGAGGCTGGATTACTTATTCATACCACATAGTGATAAAGCAGTATTTTCCATTCCAAACTAAAGATGTTTGACAGTATCTACAGTCTTTAATACTTGAAAACTGCATCTCAAGAGGGGGTTTTGTTTGTTTGTTGTGCTCAATTTCCAGTAAGTTCTCCGAGTCATTTATGTTAATTTTTAATCAAATACAGAATACTGGAAGAGGAGACTGAAAAAGGCTATCACTGTGCCAACATTTTAAAGTGTCAAAATGAGATACCTGAGTAATTACAGGCTAGTTAATTCCAGGCAAAAATTATAAAGAGCAGATCCAGAATTGAATTCATAAAGAAAAGGGGGGAAAAAAAAAGAAGATTGAGAGTTAACTTAAAACTATGTTGATTGGCATTGGTTATGAAAAACAGGTCTTATCAGACTTTTGCTATTACAAGCCTAATTGACAAAAGATAAGAATATTGACCTAACAAAACCTAGTGTTGTATAACATCTTGGTTAAAATGTTACATTAAACAAGAATGCATTTCTTATGTTAAAAACAGGGTGACTGGCTTTAAAAGAAAGAGGTATTTTTCCACTCATAATTACCCAGCAGAAATAAAATTTTGACATAAGTTTATACATTATTTTTATCTATTATTTGAAGCCTGGCACAGTGATAAGAACAGGTTAGTACTACAGCACAGTCTAGATCTCTTGGCATGTTGGGCTCATTCAAATATTCAGTTATTGCCAAATGTCAGCCATCCAGACAAAAAAGTGAAGTCATATTTACAGGACAGGGCACTGCCTCCTGGAAAGCAGCAGCTCCAAGACAGACCTAGGGTCAAGGTGGCTAACTGCACACGTGTGCCTAGCATGAAACTTTGGCTAAGAGGGCAAAGTAATCTTGGTTCTATGAAGAGGAATGCCAAAGAGGTGCAACATCCATGGCCATCACCAGAATAAAAAAAAAAAATTTGCTGCTAACCCTTCAAGAGTTTCCAGCTCAGCTAGACCACATATTCAGGAAGACAAAATCTTGACATGAACTTACTGGAATCCTTTGACAAGCTGTTCTACTGTTAGTGGTCACCCTCACCATTAAAAATGTGCACCAACTTTCTAGCCTGGGTTTCCACTTCCAGCGCCTGGATTTTGCTATGTCTGTCTGCTAGATTAGTGAGGCCCCTATTAACTAAGGACCTACTCAATTCGTGATTTTGTGGAAGTCATGAAATTGGCCATGGTCTGCAAAATTGGACAGTGTCCACAAAATCCCAGGGGGTGGAGGGGAAAGGGTGGTTTAATAATAAATTCTGGCTCTCCAGTGGGAGCCGGCGGTCCTCATGGCCACTGTGGTCCAGCTGCACAGCCTGCTGGGGTGGGGGGGGAGAGGGGCACCAGAGCAAAGGGGAGCAGCCAAGATGGCATCCACCCCCTCCACTGACTGGCTGAGAAGGCTGCTTGCCATGCACCCCCCTCAGCCAATCAGCAGCAAGGTCCAGTGTGGTAAGGTCTGGTGTGCCCTTCCGGTGTGTCCAGAGGGGGCAATTTCACTGCTGCTCTGGTCCCAGTGCCACCACTGCCAGCTGCCCGGCGCAGCCCCAGATCTTTCCAGCGCATGGGTGGAGGCAGGGCATTGAGCTGGGGCTGTGCCAGGCGGCTGGCGGCAAAGTTTGGGATGGATGCAGCATCCTCCCAGCGCCCACTCCAAGCCCAGCTCCGGCTGAGAAGAGCCCCGCACAGCCCCAGCAGCAGCCCGCCCTGTACAGATCTGAGGGGCACACGCTCCCCACCCCCTCCCTGGTGCAAGCAACAGCAGGAGCCACCTCCTCCCAACCTCGGCACGAGCCATGGCTCCGCCCCACCTGGGCAGTGCCTGCTCCTGCCCCCTCTGTCACTGCAGGGGATGTTGATCTGCCCCTGCCTTCCCTCCCCCCTCCTTTTCCACCACACCAGACTTACCAGCTGGAGGCAGTTGTATCAGAAATTGGATCGGTATCGGCCAATATGCTTCCTTAAATATCGGCTATCGGTATCAGCCCCAAAAATCTCTATCAGTGCACCCCTACTTATAACAGAAGTACTTAGGTGGAAAGAAAACTTATCTATTATGATCAGTTATACGCTTAAGACCAGAACTTATTCCACCTATTCAGCATCTAGGTGCAATTTCTTTTCACCCATTTGGTGTCGTTCAGAAAGGTTAACACAAAAGGTATGTGGGTCCTCTTTACTGCTTTTTGTGATTTAGTCTAAAATAATGGCTACACATCAACCGGTTTCCATCCAATAAAATGGAATTGGATCGCACTTCAAGACTTCAACACCAAACAGGTGGAACCGAATCTGGCCCTTAGCATCACACAACGCTTCCAATTTTGCTGAACAACCTCTTGGGAATCCCAGTGTATACAATGTGCTCACTTATACATATATCCTGAAAGATGTCTGTTTTGTGTCAAATGTACAATAGTTTAAAACTATGTCCATACCTTCTGAATGGCTCAGCTTTCACTCAGTTTGTAATATGGGCGTTTTCCTTGTTCTTTAGTCAAGACTTAAAGTTAGAGAAGTGTAACCATGATGAGAGACTGCAGCTCCCAGAGGGACAGAATGGGGGCTGGGATTAATGCAAGGCAGAATAAAGGCTGCATTGGTACATGAAATATTTCTATAATTAAAGCTGTTGAAATTTCTTTTAAGTTTAAACTTTCTTGTGAATTCTTAAACCTGTAATTTTTATTTTAGCAATCATTACAATATTCACTCTTTATATTTAGGGACTAACTGAAATCACGATTTCACAGATTTTGTGAAATCCAGCATTGCCCGCAAAGGTTGGCAATGCCTATGAAATCCATGGAAAAAAAAAGAAAATTTATGGAAAAATAAAATGTCATCTCCCCAGGGGGAGCCAGCAGCTCTCAGGGCTGCAGTAGCCCACCAGGGCATGGACTACCTGCTCAAAGGGCTGCCAGCAAGATGGTTGCCTCCCCTGCCCCTTGCTTGCCTCCCCTGTCCCCTGCCTGATCTGCAGCAATGTTTGCCTGTCATGTGGCCCCACCCCACTCCACCAATCTGCAGCGAGCAGCAGGGCTACATGATGGACAGACCTCATAGCCAGAAAGCAGCAAGGGGCAGGGCTACTGGGGCCTCTTAAGCAGAGGCAGAGGGGGGCACGCTCTGTCCATGAAATAGCTGCCGGGCCTATATTCTGCCTGCAAAATCAGGGGGCAGCATCCTCAAATTTGGTAGGTCCCTATTTATATTACAGAT